TGAAAGACATCTTTAAGGTTATCAAATCAATCATAAAATATTTGGGCAATCTCATACTTTATCAATAATGACGTATTATGTACATCTAACTTGACGCTTATTTGTCATTTGACCAAAATTGGAAGAAACGTAACATTCGTTTTTTTAAACAAAAATAACACAAAGTTGACGAGAAGTCACAAATCAGATGCGTCATTATCGATACTAATAGCGGAATTGTTAGAACGTGTCACCTGAGGCATGTTTTCTGTGTTATTTATGGACGTTTGGATGGATATTTCATGGAACGCTTGAGTAAACACAAGGAGCAAAAGAGTTAGTTCAAAACTTCGATCGGTCCAACTTGCAGGTGAAGCAAGACCCAACAACGATAAAAGATAGCGAATAAATGCTACATACACGTCTCTCAGGTGCTTTAGTCCAGACTTGCTGCTCCAGTTTCGTCTGGTCCTTTGTGGCGTTACTTCTTGACGAGGTAATGAAATCGAAACATCTTGAAACATTGCAGAATAAAAAGTGTCGGCTTTTCACCGAACATTCGAAGTCTTTGAAAAATGTTGTAGTCAGAAAGAACAAAATCATTCTCAAAGGACAAGAAGGATCACTGACAATCTGTCTATATCTACAACCACCTGCTCGAACACCCTCCATCTTGACTTTAGACTCTGCCAAAAGGCGGTCAGTATAAAACACGGACTGCGGAATGCGGACTACGGACTGCGGACTGGGTATAAAATACGGACTAGGTATAAAACGCGGACTAGAAAATACGGACTGGGTATAAAACACGGACAAGGTATAAAACGCGGACTGCGGACTGCGGACTGGGTATAAAATACGGACTACGGACTACTTTGGTAAAAACCGTGCAAATTGGTTCTAGGTAAGGAAAAATAAGATCAAAAGATCGCTAAATAGCAAGACACGTGAGTTAAAGTTGTAAATACTCTTATAGATTCTTGGTGGAGGTGTCCCGCCCGGTTCTCTGAATCATGAGCCGGATCAAAATGCTATTTTCTTCACCCATTTTTAGACCTTGTCTTGGTCTCTAACAATCATGAAAGGGGTCAGGATCAGGGGGTACTCCCTTATATAAGGGAAGGGTAGGAGTTTTGGGCCTTTTGGTCTGAAAACACTTTGCCCATTTTGGTGTGGAATCGGGTATGGTTTTCGAGGGAACAACGGGAGCGTACATGAATGGACGTATTTATCGTTTCAATTCCAAATGAATAAGAACGAAATAGAAATGTGCGAATTCGAAATGCATTTGGAGAATTTTTTTTGTTTCCGCTCTAACTTGGTAATGATGACAAAATTTCTGCCTAATCATACCTAACCTGTTCAAGGATCTAAGATAGTTGGGTCCGATGAATTGAGAAAGCGAAAACACGAAAATAAAACGGGAGAAAACTGGGGAGTTTCCCCAACTATCTGAGAACCTGGAACAGGCTAAATTAGGCCAGGTCCGAAAATGGGTATGGATTTTAGAGATCTAGTCTGAAAACGGGTGTGGAAAATGACAATTTTTTGGTCTGCAATAAGGTCAGGATTCGGGGAACCGGGCACTACACCCCAACGAAGAATTCCCAGTAGTACCCCTTCCGGGGATCAGGAGCAGGGTGTAAATCATATCATCATAATCATCACTTAGAATATAACGTTGAATGACGCATTTCGGTTATTATTCACGTATGTGAGTAATCCCTCGCACCTAAATACTGCTTTGTGCATCGCATTGACCTTCTCGTCTGAGTTCTTCATTCAGTCCTCATATTCCCAAGGCTTTATTTGAAACGGAATTGTGGCGTCCGATAAGAATTTTACTGATCTGACTAATACCAATACTATTTTTTTTTTTAATTCGGTGCTTCTTATTGGTGTAAAACTGCAAATTGAAATCTCTTCAAACTCCTTCTTTTCACAAAATTCAGAGTTTAATTTCAGTTGCCTTGAGTACCGGCATAACCTTCCTTCTCCATGGGAAGAATAGACTACGTGAACAGCGTTAAAGCTGGGACTACTGTTTTTGCTAGTCCGCTTTCTATTTCTCTCAGTTTTACCTTCTAAAGCTGTTTTTATATACATAGTCCGTAGTCCGCGTTTTATACCTAGTCCGTGTTTTATACTCAGTCCGGAGTCCGCGTTTTATACCTAGTCCGTATTTTATACCCAGTCCGCAGTCCGTGGTCCGCAGTCCGCAGTCCGTGTTTTATACTGACCGTGCCAAAAGGATGGAATGTGTGACGCCGGACTACCGGACTCCGGAATGCGGAATACGCTATCTATTGTTGTACGCGCCAAAATCCTGTTATAACTGGTGTGTTGAAAATAGGTTGTGAAAGTCGTGTTACTTCAAATTTTGAGTTTATTCGATGTTGACATTAATTACCATGATAATAATGGTCCATAATAGCCCTTTTTGTATTCAGACCGTGCCATGCAATTTTTAGACAATTAATGCCTTGCCACTGCGTATAATTACTTACTTAGTTGTATTTTA